TCTGAAGGGCAACTCTGCTTAGTACAAGGGCTAGGTAGGCATGAGGGTAGAAAAGGGAGACGGCAGGTGTCACCAGACTGGTGGTACTGAGATGTGGGCATGGACGTGGAATGGGTTGGACAGGCAGGTGAATTCTTTTCAGCTCATGGAGATGCTGTAGGCATCCAGGAGCAAAATGCAAGTAGCAGTTGGCCGTGAGATACAGACTGGGGAATCTTCCTTACGTGGAGGTGCCCAGAGAGAGCCAGCAGAGTGCAAGAGAAAATCCAGCTAGGAGTAGAAAAGCACAGCAGCACAGATACCGAGCAGCACCACCTCGGGCGTTTGCTCTCCAGGGAGATCTGTCAAAACCTGTGCTTTTACTTGCTTGCTCCTTAAGAACAGAATGAAATGTCCCCTCTCTTTACACATTGATCAGGGAGGAGGGTCAGTGGAGAGCTCAGGTGTGAGACTCCGTCCCACTGTCTGCTGCTGCAGCCTCCATTTGCAGTTGGACTTCCCAGGGGCAGTAATCTACCTTCCTCTGCCTTGGTCCAGCCTCTCCGGAAAAATCCTGTTTAACAGGTGCTTTGCCCTGCTGAGGGGTGGCAGGGAATGACAGCTGTGGTCTCATGGTAATGGCCCAACTGGATGGCAGGCCTGCTTCATAGAAGGAACTTTGCTCAGAGTGTCAGTGTACAGCTGGGAAAAGTGAGACTGAGAGAAATTCTGCAACTTGCTTGAAGTTCTTTGGTGAGTAAGTGGCCCAGCTGGGGTTTGATGCAAGCCCTTTGATTCTGGAGCCTCATCTCTTCCCTGCCATGTGTGAGGGGTGCTTTTGAGGCCAGACTGGGTCAGGAATGAGGGGAGGATGGGCAGGTCTTTGTGAAAAGAAGCAAAGTCTTAAGGTGGAGAAGCTTGATGGCGAAAACAGATTTAGAGTCCTTTGATGCTTCAAAGGACAAATGAGTAGCAAAAGTTCTGGGAGAGGGCTGTCCTCTTGTGGGGGCAGGGAGGGGATGGAAGTAATTTTTCTAGCAAGGCTGAGGCGGTGTGGCGAGATTCCACCACTGGGCGAGAGATAGCATTATGTACTGTACAGGGTTCCTTCCAAAATTTATTCTGTGATTCTGTGTATTTTGAAAGACCAGTGTGTTCTGGTTGGGAGTTGAGTAAAATTCTGCATTGTTCACCTTTTTCCCACCAGGGCAATTAGGGAAGATAATTATCTTCCCTTACAGTAAGATACATCATCACGAGTCATACGAGAAACCATCTATTACAATACCCAGCTGGCATTTATACAAAGGATCCTTTCCTTTATGAAGTTTGAAGTTTGAAACCCTAGAATCTTTTAGAATTCTGCTTTATCTTTTACTGAAGAATAATAAAAATAGAAGTAGCCAGGTGTGGTGGAGCATAGCTGTAGTCCCAGTACTTAGGAGGCTGAGGCAAGAGAATCAGGAGTTCGAGGCCAGTTGAGACTACATAGTGAGACCCTGTCTTACAAGACTAAGAAACAAAAGGAGCAAGCAATGCCAGTGTGCTGGCTTCTGCGCAGGGCAATTTTCTTGCATCATCTCGTCTGTTCTGACAACATCCCCTTGAAGTGAGTGTTATTGCCACTGTTTTACACAGGCTGGGAGGCAGTGGTGGGCTAATGGTAATTGCTCCTGCACAAAGAGCCAAGGGGAGCTCTGAGGCTCTCTGAGGCTGATGTCTTGTGCATCAGACAAAGCTTGTTAGCCCAGAGCCCTGGGTGTCCTTGTAGTGTTGGAAGTCCCATAGTTATGCAGCTCCATGATAGTTTGCAGGCACTCTGTTTTTCTCATAGTGAGCCCAGCCATTGTGTAAGTGACACCAGGGCCCCTAAGTGCAGCTGCTAGAAGCTTGCAGGCACAAATGGTCCCCAATCAGATAAGGAGGCGCTCTCCCACCCTGCTTCTGAACAACAGGAAGTCTTCAACAAGATTACTCCCAAGGCCCATGGCTCACAGGACTTCCCACCTCTTCCCCTCAGGCCCCAGAGGCCTGTTCGCTCTACTTTCCTGCCTCTGTTTATCCTTTCAGGACATCACTGATAATTTCTCCAGGGCCTCTCTTCCTTCCCATTAAAGCTAGACCAGGGGACCCCTCCAGAGGTTTCTAGCCAGACCTGGAAGCCATCTTCCTGGTCCTTTGTGGGGGGGGATTACTGCCTGATTCTCCTGTGGAATGCTCTGTCCTTGTACCCTTTTTTGGTTGTCTTTTGATTGGGACCCCTGGCCGTTTGCCCAGTCAAGGATCATTAACTGTGGTGAGTGTATTAGCCTCTGTTTTCAGGGGGAAAATGTAAAATGTGGCTAAAGGTTACTTGTTCAGTTGTCTTGTCTACTTAATATAGCATATTGGTGAGAAGGAAGATGCTTAATTTTTTTCCTGACTTATAAAATGTTACATGGTTAAGGTAGAAGAATTAGGAAATAGAATTGAACATAAAGAAGAAAATTGGTTTTCCATACAATACAAGAGAGAATAAGAATGGTTAAGAGTTTAGCCTGTGGCCCAGGGGTTACTTTTTATGAAAAGCTCCACTTAAGACTCAGCTAGACCTGGGTAGATATAACTCTGACTTTCCTGCTTTGCTAATTGTCTGTGACTTCAACATCTTGACCTCTCTGTACCTCAGTTTCCTGAACAATAAAATGGGAATGAGTGGTCATGAGGGCTCAGTAAAGGAATATCTATAAAACCCTTATTAGCACAGTGGTGGGCTAGTTAGGACAATGTTAGGCTCAGAAATGGAAGTAATGCAGAATCTTGCTGTAGAAATGTAGTGTCCAGATATCTATTGCAATTATCAGTTGTAGGCACCATTGGTTGTTTCATGCTTTTTGATTCTAGATCACTGGATTGTATCTCCTGTTTCACATTAAGGGCCTGGAACCTTTCAGTAAGGTACTAAGGTGAAGATGCAGTTTCAAAAGACAACAGTCACAATTCTGTTTCCTGGCCTGGTCTCCATTGGGGTTGAATGTCCATTGAAGGGCAAGCCTGAAAGGAGAGTGTCAGTCACCCTAGACAAGGACCTGTTCCTCTTGCCTATGAACACACCTACTCTCCTGTGTTTGACAACTCTTTAGTGTGTGTGTGAGACCAGTGTGTGTAGACACAAATTTGGTTTGATCCAACTTTCAAACAGAAATCATTTTCCAGTCATTGGTCCCAAGACTAGGGATGCAGATCGGTGATAGAGTACCTGCCTAGGATGTGCAGAGTCCTGGGTTCATTCCCCACCACCAGAAAAAATTTGTGTGCAATCACTGTACATGATGGCCTGCTTTTGTCATTTAAAATGTACCACAAACAGGCTGGGGAGTGTAGCTCAGTGGCAGAGTACTTGCCTAGCATACACAAAATTCTGAATTTCAGCCCCAGTATTGAAAAAAAAAAAGAAATCAGCCCCAGGAGTACACTGACTTTCTAGCCTTAAAGATAAAGCTTTTACATATGAGCTCATGAAGGAAATTGTAATGCCCCTTGTGTTTCCATCCATCCTGGCTTTGTGGATGTTGTTTAAAACACTGGTTTGCCTTTAGGTGTAACATCTTTAGGAAGAAATGACACAGTGATCGACACAGTCCCAAAGAGCAGTACTTGTCTGTCTATTTGTGTGTCTAGAGACGTGGGGTCTTTCATTGGAGAATTTATTCTGTGTTCTCAGTTGCTCAGATGAAATGGCCTTTATCTCTTGTGCAGGGTCTTGGTCGTTTTTTAGGGGGCTGGGCAGAATTAGCTTTTCTCTGAAGCTTCTCACAGCTAGAAACTGAGCTGCTTTGTGCAACTGGCATTCCTGTTCAGGGAGGAGAGCATTTGCTAAAGTTGCCTGCAGATCTTTGTGCCTACCTCTTCCTAAGAGAAAACTTGGCACCCAGAGAACAGTTGTAGTGTAGAGAATGCTTTGTCACATGGTCTTGTGGGGAAAGTGATCTCTGGGAGAGGAAACTGAAGAAGTAGATGGGAAAAGGTGTTTAAAGGGCCTGGGTTTGGAGGTGGCATCCACACAGCAGGTGCCTGAGGAAACATTGGGCAATTAGTTGCAGTCCACCCCAGCTCTCAGTCTTCCCACATAACTCAGTTTGTTTTTTAAATGTCAGTTTTGCTTTTTCCAATTGGCTCCCACTCCTCAATATTTATGGCCCTGACAAAAGCTGTTTTTATGAATCATTTCAATATTTTTGTTGATACTTGTGTGTATGTGTGTGTGTGTGCGTGTGTGTGTGCTTAATGGTTTCTGGGCTGTGTAGAGATTTCCTGGAACTTTGGAGCATTTTCTCAGTCTGTCTCTAACTGTGTGTCCCTGGCCAGAAAATCTTCTTCTTACCCCAATACTGAAGGGTTTGGGCCAGGTGCTAGCCAAGGACCTCTCTCCCTCTGGAAGTGTTTCTTAGTGAAGGAAAGACATTTAAGTAGCAATTGGGTGAAGTGTGTACAGTTGCTGAATTTTTAAAAGGCCACGAGGGCTTTGTGGTATTTGTTACCAGGTTTCCTTTTATTAATATCATTTTGTTGCTTTGGTACCTTGGCCAGGCTCTATGGCTTTGACAGACCGAGCTTTATACCAGGTGTTTCCTTCTCACTTAACATTGCCTGAGGCAAATTGAATATGTTAATGTTTCATAAGTCAGACTTTCCAACTCCTTAATCACTGCAGAGTTCTTGGCTCGTTTCCCTCAAGTCTTCATAGTTGCTGTTTATTATCTAGGGTCCTCAACTTGTAGAATCTGATTGAGGCATGGTTTTGTTAGAAACAAATGTTATTGTGGTTGGACGATCCTGAAATTAAATAATACATGGGGAAAAAATGTTGTTACATATGTCCTTATTTGGCTCATGGAATTGCCTGCCTGTCAAACTCCTATTTAAATTTAACTTTTAAGTAAGGCACTTTGGAAAATTAAGCTAAGCTAACTCTGGATGACATTTTCCCCCTCTGAGCATTTCTTTTCTTCTAACAATGTTGCGTGTTTTACTTTGTCTAGGATTTTCAAGAAAGACATGTCTGACAAAATGTCTAGTTTCCTACATATTGGAGACATTTGTTCTCTGTATGCAGAGGGATCGACAAATGGATTTATCAGCACCTTGGGGTAAGTGCACCCGATTTCTCATGTGGCAGGATTTGCTTAAGACATCATAACATCTGCTCAAAAGTTACTTTTTTTTGGTAGGGTAAGAATGTTACTATTTTACTTGGCTCTTCCAAGGAGGGTTGAAGTCACAAACACCAGATCCCATGTTAGCCATGTATAACCTGTTACACAAAAGCACTGTTTTCTTTCAGTTTTCAAAGAACAAAACCTCATTAGTTAGGGCTGTATTAACTCAGAATTTTTTATAATTGGTCCTTCCTTCATATATAAAGGGGAAAGTGCTAAGTATATGAAATAGCATCTGAAGATTAATATTTACAGAAGTGCTTTTTAGTTTTGTAAAAGTTCTTTTCAAATAGTGACTAATATGTAATATAAGCAAAGACCAGAGCTTCTTAGATGCTTATCTCTCTTTGAAGCAGAACCTTTCCTACTTTAAGTTGCCAAATTCATCAGAAAGTTTCAAATTGCACAAAGTTCTATAAATCAGACTTTTTGTTCATTTGTGCTTTCTTCTTTCAATGTTTAAGGATATAAATATATTCCATTATTACTCATTTGATTATTTTCTCCCTTCTCCTCCTACTCCCATTGTCTAAGAGAGGAAACGAAAAGTGAAGTACCCCAAAGGCAGACTGAAGCAGAATGAAGAATCAAGGTGGTTAACTCCAGAATAGTCGGGAATGGTCTCTGTTGTCTTTGTGTAGGAAGGAATAGACCTGGTGGCACTGGTGAATTAGGTTAGACCTCGTGAAGTAAATGGGGGGAGGCAGGTCGATAGTTTCTCCCAAAACTTTGTTCTTACACTAGCCAGAATCTCCCTTTTTATTATAGCTTCTACTGAAAGCATGCGTGTTTTCTGGTATTTGTGCAGAGTGAGTATTCCCAGACTCTCATTTGGATTACTTCACTCTCAAGGATGAAATTAAATCAGGTACAGAATTAAAACCTCAATCAGACCTGTGTTACCACTGTGTAAAGAATTTATTTTAGAGCTGGTTGTGGTGGCTCCTGCCTGTAATCCCAGCTACTTGGGAGGTAGAGATAGGAGAATTGCCGCCAAGCACTAAACCCTGTCTGAAAAACAAACTAAAAGTAAAAAAGACTGGGGTCTGTGGCTCAAGTGCAAGCATGAAGCCCTGACTTTCAAACCCCAGCACCATTAAAGAAAAAAAAATTCAAAAGTCATCTAATAACTGGTCATGGTGGAACACACCTGTAACTCTAGCTCTTGGGAGGTTGAAGCAAGTGGATTATGAGTTCCAGGTTAGCCTGGGCTCTGTCTCGATAAGTAAGTAAGTAAATAAATAAATATTCTTCCAATAAAAAGAAGTCATGTATGACATCTCTCTGTATTTGATCTCTGTACATTGTAGGCTTACCCTAATAATTTATCTTCTGTGACTTTTGGCAAATAGGCTTCCTGCTGCCCATGCCTTTCTGACCGTCACTCCTTTCTTCTTGCCTGGCTCTCCTTTCCATCCCCCATGGTTGAATTTTTCACCCTCTTCTTATTTTTTCAGCAACGACTACAGTAATATACAGCAGCGGTAAGCACTCTATGAACTCTGTGGGTGTTCACTGTGCCTACATTATCCCTTTAATCCTCAAGCACCTCTTGGTGGTGAGCACTACTGTCATCATAGTGCATGGAGGTAACACCTCTGTACTTCAGATAGGTGCAGTCACTTGCTTAAGGTTTCATAGCTCAGAAGACTTGGGTCTCCAAGGCCAAGGTCCTAACAGTTAACCCTCTTCAGGGCAGTATCTCCTTCCAGCTTCCCTGAGCACCAGTTTCCCACACTGTTTGCCCACAGTCCTGTTTGGACTCTCTCTCTCTCTCTCTCTCACTCTCTCTCTCTCTCTCTCTCTCTCTCTCGCTCTCTGTCGCTCCATCCTTCTGCCTCCGCCTCCAGTGTGCTGAATTTCAGGTGTGTGCCACCATGCCTGGTGCCATTCTTAAATTTCTTACGGGATGCAAACTCTTCATTTTATATGTTTTTCTCAAGCATTAGAAGCAAACTAAAGATGAGCCCACTCCCACCCTTACAAAGTTAGGATGGGTGTTTTTTAAACTTTGGGCCTTCATACTTCCTTCAGATGAATACTTCATTCCCATCTTCACCCCTTCTTGGCTGGAACTTTCTTCTTTCTATCCCCCATGGTTGAATTTTTCACTGTTTCATTTTTTTTTTTTTCAGCAATGACTGCTGGAATATACAACTTTGAGAATAGCTCTTATAAAATTGATCTGGACAATTAAGTTGATCTTCCCCTTCTTTCGTTTAATATGTTAAACATACTCGGTGACTGTCAGTCTTTATGGAGCTGGGTGTTCCGCTCCCAGCCCATCTTGTTGACATGGATGGTGGCTACTGCTCAATGGCTTTATCGACAACTTGAACTTTACAATTCCAGTAGGACCTTGGAGAGCCAGTGTGTGTGAAAACCTGCACTAATTTGTGGTGTGTTTCTGAATCACCTTTGGAGCTTGTTAGAAACAAAGGTTCTTGGGTCCCTTCCTAGAACACAGTTCTAAGTGAGAACCCTTGAGACCAAGTCTTTGATTTTATAGGTGAAGAATCTGAGACCAGGAGGGGTGAAATAACATGGTCACTTCGTGCTGCTACTAGGTGGCATAGAGCTACATATAGTCTAGACTCTGCCAGGGCCCTCTCTTTTACCACTTCCTCCTTGACTGAGAACTTGGTGATTAATTCAGCCCTGCATTGGATTCTGAGCCCACCTTTTCAAGTATTGAGGTTAGCTTTGGTGGCATTACTGTATTTATATAGGGTCCAGAGTAGAGATTTTATATGTGCACATTATACCTTTGATTTTTGCAAAAAAACGTTAGATCATGGCCACATTGCCCCTTCTGTAGATGAACCGTCAGGTCTTCTGTTTGGAGCCAAAGTAGGCAAACTGCTTGTGGAATACTCTGGACACCAAATAAATACTGAACTATAGCCTTGGGCATCTTCTGAGTCACAAAGCAGGCCCCCCTAACCCCCTGCCTGTAGGAGCCTGTAACCTAGCACACCCCTGGGGGTAGCCAGGGGCTGGGAGGACAAATACCCCAGGGCTTTCCCAGTACAAAGTTTAGACTGAAAGGAAAGGGGGGGTGTGGGGATAGGGGATACGAGGCTTGGTGGAGAAGGTGAGACTGAAAATCAGGAACTCGAAAGACAGGCAGGACTTCAGGAGGTGAAAAGAAATTTGGGAGGAAAGGGCAGGAAGGGTAAAGGCTGAATATTTAAAGGTACCATTAAATATTCAATGGTACTTTGCATTTGGGATAAGAGGTAGCATTGACTTTTGGAAGAAACTTGAAAAATCATAGCCTGCTAGCTGGCAGCAAGTTTTGTGGTCATATGGAAAATGAGCCAGTTTTACCACTATCAGTTTTAGGAACCTAGACAAATCATGTAACTTCTAGAGTCTCAGTTTCCTCATCTGTTCACATATATATGTATGTATGTATGTGTATATATTTATATATGTATGTATACACACACATACACACATAATGTATTAGTAGTTCTTCTAAAAGAGTTGTGTAAGTTAGGTTTGATTTTAACAAAGATTTTAAACATGCATCTTTATGTAATTGAACTGGTTATTTATTCGTAATTTTTTGTACTTTCTCACTGATTGCTTTTGAAACTCTAAACCCTTTCCTCCTTTGGATCTGCACTGGATTCCTGCCACCTCTGTTTCAACTCTTCCAATAATTCCAATACAACTTCCTCTGCTTAAAAAGGTCTCAGGTGACCTCAGGCACAGTAGTTTTCTGGCTATGTTGTTTCCTTCTTTCTCTTACAACCCTTAGGTTATATTTTTCTTATCAGTTTGCATGTATAGCTCCAGAGTTATCCTTGAGCTACCTAAGGGCTGGGATCTGTCTCATCTTCATCTTCATTCACATCCCAGAACCTAGTACAGTGCTTGGCACAGTTAGCTTTTCAGCTACAATCAGTTGACTGCATTGACCCATTATTATGTCTTCTGCCTTCAGCATTTGCAGGTTGGGAGCAAATCTATCATGGATATGGTTCAGGGAAAAGGAGCCACAGTAAACAGTGGTTTAATGTGTCCATCATAGAAGCACTAGGGCTTTTCAATTAGGGTTAACCCTTTGCATAGGAAACCTGTTTTGCAAACAACTCATGGCAGAATATGGCAGTTTAAATTTTGTACTGGAAAAACCCTGGGATATTCAACTTTCATATAGTGCTTAGAGTTTTATTTTCCCAGGCTTGCTTTGATATAGCACTTTTCTGTGTTTTCTTTGCAGCCTGGTTGATGATCGTTGTGTGGTACAGCCAGAAGCTGGGGACCTTAACAATCCACCTAAGAAATTCAGAGGTAAGATGGTGGCCATTCAAAGTCAAATGGTCACCTTGATTTACTTGAAAATTCATGAAGGGTGTTGCTGTGTGTGTGTGTACATGGTTTGTTTCCTTTCTTTCTTTTTGGTAAATAAATGACAGGTTTATTTCCTTTAGAGTATAATTTCAATTCTAGGCTTTATAACTTCTTGAAAAATACATAAATAAATTCAGTGTCAAGACTGACTGCTTTTATTAGGGCCTTAATTTGTCTGTCAAATACATGTTGCTAAACTGAAGCATGCTGTTAATTAGGTGTGCTAAAGCCTTTTATTTATGCAGATATTTCTCCAAAGAAATAGGATTAATGGATCCAGTCACAAGGAACAATTGTTTTTTAAGCAGATCTCACTGTCTCTCTGAGGGCCCCAGTATTCTTAGGTACTTCACCTGGAAAGAGACACTACAGATTATTGCACTTGCTTTTGAGATAATGATACAGATAGGACCGCTTACCTACCAATGCTGGCTTTCTTCCTCAAAAGGTAGCTTAGTTTATTACAGAAGGTGTTTGAAGTATAGTTGGCATCTAAGATGATAAGCTCTTTGTTTTTTGTTGCAGTGATGGTTAGCAGTTCTTAGCTCTGGCTGGGGAAGCTTTTAAATTAAATAGATGTTTAGGGCCCCGCTCCAATGACATTAATCTCTAGGGATTGGGCTGGGGTACTGGCATTTTTTATGGCTTCCCAAGGAATTTTTATAAATAGCCAGGGTTTAGAACCCACTGGGTTAGATATTTGACTCATAGCTTCAGGCCCAAAGGGGTCAAATCTTGCTATTTGCAGATTAAAGCATTTGAATTGTAAGTTCTTATTGCTGAGTGATTTAGAAACTGTTTGACTCTTTTGGATGAAAGGTAGAGAAATTAGAATGAAATAGAAGGTAGACGTTCGGATGGAAAAAAGCCATTTGGAAGCAGTTTGGTGTTGAGCCACATCTAGTTGGCATGAGACTAGCAGGAGAATGTTTTCACCTGAGGATGGGTGAAACTTTCTTTAAAAAAAGTAAAAAAAAAAAGGATGTTTGAAGCTATTGCTTCTGCTGCATTTTTCTTCTTAATCCCTCCTCTATGTCTCCTTCCTAAACCAAAATTGTTGAGAGCAGCAGAAACGAAAGATTGGATCCAATGATCATACTAAGAGAATTAATTCCCCTTCACCTTTGATTGACTGTGTCAGTCACTGTGTTGAGAATGCTGCCTGCATTAGCTCAGGGAGTGGTACCTCCATCCTGAGAGGGGAGTGGTAACTCAGAGGTTATCTCTTGTCTGGGGTCACATGAATGGAGACAGATGGAGTAGGAGTATGGTTCTCAACTTTGGCTGCACAAAACTGCTGATGTCAGAGTTCATCGTGAAGCTCCTGAGTTAAAAGGGCACTGAGATTTTCTTGTGTCTCCAAGGTTAAAACTGCTAATAGGACCTGAATTATGACCTACCAAGTTCATTGTTCAAGGAAGAACTAATCTAAATTGGCTTTTGCTCCTGGGTCGAGTGGAGGGGTGTTCGTCAGGAGCATGTTGCTTGGGTCCAGTATGAGCTCTTATATCCCACATACACACAGCCTTTGGTAGTTGGGAAATAAACCTAGGAGAGATTTTAATGCAGTGTAAAAAGTTTGCCAGTGGCTGTATTTTCTGTTTTAAAATATATTTTCAAACATTATTTTTATTATTAATTGACAAACAGAAATTGTACAGATTTATGATTTTTGAAATATATTGACATTGTGGAATGCCTAAAATAAACTAATCAAACGTATGTATTTCTTCATATATTTTTTTTGATGAGAACCCTTAAAATTTACTCTGAGATTTTCTACACTGTATCGTTATCTATAGTCACCATGTTGTACAATAGATCTTTTGTATTTTTTCTTCCTATCTAAATAAAATTTTGTAACCTTTGAACAACATTCCTTGAAACATCACAGCCCTTACCACTCCCCAGTTCCCTCCTCTGTTAACCACTATTCTACTCTCTGCTTCTGTGAATTCAACTTTTTAGATTGCACATATGAGTGAGATCATGCAAGTATTTGTCTTTCTGTGCCTGGCTTGTTTCACTTAACATAATATCCTCCAGGTTGTTATCACAGATGAGCCAGTGGCTGCTTGAATACTGGATTACAATGGTAGAATAATAAATTGGACCATCCTAGGGGAAGTAGAAAGGGATGTATGTTTTCCTGGCAGTAGAGTAAGTGTCTCATGCTTAAATATATATCTGGTGGCTTATTTGAAGGAACTTTTTTTGTGATAAAAGCAGCAGTTTGGTAGAGACTATTTGGAAAGAAACTCCTCTTATTGGCCTGGTCTGGTTCTACAGGTGGTCACATGATACTGACTTGGTTTGTTGTCTCGCTTTTCCCATAAGTTACAAAGTTCTCTAGGTTGTGAGCTGCTTTGCACTTGTGAGAAAATCTTGTTCTAAACAAGCTCTGCTGTAGGCTTTATGAATGTAGGTCAGGGCTGTGTAACCCATGTGCTGAACCAGAGCCCCTTCACACAGGGGATGAGCCTGCCGGGTCTGCTTTTGTAGGTAGGAGAGATCTCTTCTATCCTGGAACTTGGGTGGCAAGTATTTAAAATTTTTTTCAAAGCATCCCTTCAGCTATGGTGGAGCATACTTTAAGAATTTTTTTTTTTCTAAAATGAAGAAAAAGACCTCTTTTTCAGAAGAGATTGCTGCCTTTCCAAATATAAGTACATTTTGAAGTTGAAGTCATTTTGATGTTTAGAAATTATACATAGGGCAGTTGGGCAATTTGGAGGCATTTCTAGTCCATTTCCTTGTGGTGCCGTGGCACCCTGGAGTTTAACAAACACATATGGAAAAGAGAGATACTGGCAAGCAGCCCAGTGGGATGATGGAGTCGTTATCTGAGCAATCAGAGCCGTGTTTGTCATTTGGATCTGCTCTTGCTTCCTTTCCTCCCTTGTCAAGTGATTTCCTATATTGAGAACCACCATAACCCCTTCTGAAGTAGATGGAAATCAGAGGCCTGTTTATACAGTGCTCTCTGTGGCTTCTGACTTCGGGTTCTGATTTTGTGAGCTCCTCCTGAGATCCTCAGTCCTCATGGTGAATAACATAGACCCTTGGACCAGCCTTCTTGGATTCAAATTCAAGTTACACAAATTCTTTTTTTTATTTTGTGGTACTGGGGCATGAACTCAGAGCCTACACATTGAGCCACTTCACCATCCCTATTTTTGTGAAGGATTTTTTGAGATAGGGTCTCACTGACTGTTTGCCCAGTCTGGCTTCAAACCATGATCCTCCTGATCTCTGCCTCCTGAGTAGCTAGGATTATAGACGTGAGCTGCTGGCGCCTGGCTAAGTTACACAAATTCTTACCTGCATGACCCTGGACAGATTATTTGACTTCTGTGAACCTTGGTTTTCTCATCTGTAATAGAAGATGGTAGTAGTCCCTATCTTATAAAGTCACGTGTGGGTTAAATGTGTGTTTAAGAATGTAGTTCTCAGCCAGGCACCAGTGGCTCATGCCTGTAATTCTAGCTTCTCAGGAAGCAGAGATCAGCAGCATTATGATTTGAAGCCAGCCCGGGCAAATAGTTCTTGAGACCTATTTCAAAAAAACTTCTTCACACACAAAAAAAGGGCTGAGGCCACTGAGTTCAAACAACAGTACCATAAAAAAAAAAAAGTATTTTGTTCTTGATGAAATTCTGTCAGTTGTGACAACATGGATGGACCTAGAGGGTACTATGGTAAGTGAAAATGGCCAGAGACAGGAAGATACTGTCTTCCTGTTCATGTGGAATCCTAAAAAGTTGTTCTCACAGAAGTTGAGAGTAGAATAGTGGTTACCAAAGGCCTGGGAGAGTAGGAGGAGGGAATATGGAAAGGGATTGGTCAAAAGGCACAAAGTTACAGTTAGGAGAAGTAAGTTCCGGAGTGTTCTGCTGCATGATAGAATAGCTGTAGTTAGTAATAGTGCATTGTGTATTTCAAAATACCTAGAAGAGAGAATTTTGTTCTTACCCTAAAGGGCTGAGGATGTAGCTCAGAGGTAGAACACTTGCCTGGCATGCATGAGGCTGTTGGTTTGATCCCCAGAACTACAAAATCAAACCAAAACAAAGAAGTGATAAATATTTAAGGTGATGTTTATGCCGATTTCCCCAATTTAATCATTGTGGAATGTATACATGAATCAAAACATCATACTGTATCCCAGAAATATGTCTAATTTTTAAGTGTCAATCAAAAATAAAAGCAAAAGAAATTAAAGTTAAAAAATTTCAGAGCTGAGGGAGATTGACCTTAGTTAAGGGTTCTGTTAGCCTTAGTGATTATCTTGTCATTTCCAGTATTTACAACAGAACCTCGTACGTATAAATGGTAGTAGAAGGGAACGATCCATATGTGACTCCTTTAATGGTACACGAATGATATTGCTATTCTTTTTGTTTTTCAATGCTTTGGGTACATGGACTTCATAGCCTAGATTTGAGGTCCAGTGCTTCTCTATATAAGCTGAATGACCATGAAAGATTATGTAATTTTTCTGAGCTTGTTTCACCACTTAAAGAATGAGGGAAAATAATCCCTTATAAAGATAATATAGGATTAGAGATAGTATGGATTGAGAGTGTAAGCTCAGTGACTGGTAGCTGTTCTTTTTTACAATAGATGTCGAAGAGTTAAACATTGAATATACTTGCTTTTCTCTGCTGCTTAAAAACATATTTCCAAAATAAATTGCTTTTTAAAAAGTCTCCTTGAATGTGTCTTCTAAACCTAACTTTGTAGGAAGAAAAGATTGGCTGCACATCTGTTTAACATAAGCCAACTCTTTTTTCATCATCTGAATGAATTTTGGACAGGGTCAATGTCCTCTAAGTGATGAGGAGGGAGAACTGAGATGTGGAAGAGTTCAGTTACTTTGGTCTTTTTGTTAATGTGGTACCAGTGTCCATGGAAGGTAAGGCAGAATCTCTCTTTTCCCT